ACTGTTACGAGGTTTCCTTACCACCTGTTTGGTTGTCACCTCTGTGGATGAGCCATCATTTCTCTTTCTCAAGAGATTTCTCTTTTTCACGACAAATCTTTATTAATTTTGATGATAGCCATAGCTTTTCTTCTCCTGTGGAAACAAGAGTAAAACTCCTTCTCCAACGTAGCACATCTCCTGGTTTCCATTGTGAGGTCAACACATCCTTGAAATACACTGGCTGATTTAATTCATGAGTTTTTTTCTATTATGCAGTGTGTCTCTGCTGCTGCTGAACCTTTCTCATTAGCATTAAGAAAATTCAAGGTTAATAAAGCATTATGAAATCTATTTATGGTGGTATTTATCATCCGTTTTTGTTTGTTTAACATATCCTTTATAGTTCGATTTGGTCTTTCTATAACTGACCTGTAGGATTGTTTGGTATGCCCGTAATATGCTTTATATTATTAGAAGCAAAAAACTGTTTCATTTTCTTAGAGACATATGCTGGACCATTATCTGTTTTTATTTGTGAAGGTATACCCATGATGACCATAACTTTTAATATATGCATGGTTACTGAATCAGCCTTTTCTGAGCTTAAAGCAATTGCCCATTGAAAACCTGATGAAATTTCAAAATTATGGAAAGACAATGAACCTTGGCGAAGAGTTTGTGCTAATTTTTAAGGAGAGATTAATAGTGATTATCTCAAAAGTGACAGAATTAACCTTATAAATAGAACTACTTGGATCCTTCCACACACTGTATGTGACACACCAATAACTAGAGCCTGAACATTCTATACTGATGCAAATAAATCAGGAAAGGCAGGTTACAAATCGGAAGATTTAAGTAAGGTAGAACAAAGCCCTTATAATTCTGCCCAAGAGACAGAATTATATGCTATTCTCATGGTACTAAGGGTAATAACCTCTCAATATAGTTACTGGTTCACTATGCAGAAAGAGTTGTCTTGCATATTGAAAACACTAAATTTATACCAGATAATACAAAATTGACCTCATTATTCATACAGGTTCAAGAAATAATCAGAAATAGGGTCTGTTCCATATATTCAACACCCGATCCCAAATGGGTCTACCATGTCCTTTAGCACAAGGTAATGCAGAAATTGATCAATTATTGATTGGAAGTATGCTGGGTGCCTCAGAATTTTATAAGAAACATCATGTCAATAGCAAAGGTTTAAGAAAAAGTTTTCTATTACATGGCAACAAGCTAAGAAAATTATAAAGAGATGCCCTACTTGCTCTTTCTATAACCAAACACTGCTATCTGCAGAGAATAACCCAAAAAGTACTCAAAGGAATGCAATCTGGCAGATGGATGTGTTCCACTTTAAAGATTTTGGAAAATTAAAATATGTATACCACACCACTGATAACACCTCATCCTTGGACATTATTTTTGGATAGTGTGCAGATTGCCATCCTGGAGAGAAACTCTATCTGCTAGCCTATCATAAGTTTTTACCAGATTTTGATTGTCAAATTCAACAGTATGAATTCTTTCAGATAATATCTCAGCACCCTTTGACATGGATTGATTTTTGTTTGTCAAAATAATGTTATCCTTTTCAATAGTATTAATTTTTCAGGTAACTTGATATTCAGTGATATTAATCCTGTCAGCTGTTCATTACTAGTCTGTAAAGACTGTATCATTTCCAAAAGTGCCTCATTCTTGGCTCTGTTCACACCATTCTCTTAAGGATATACTATGCAAAAGAAAACTTAGTCCCTATATCCAGTAAATGGATGTATCAGAAAAACCATATAAGCCTTACAGAATACAATCCATGGCATAAATAAAAAGATCACTAAATTCCTGGACTAACTTTCAAGTTTATTGATTTATTTAGTAATCAAATAGTTATCTTTATTATGAAATTGTGGTAAATTGTTGAAGATGTAATAATCTTATTGTCTGACAAGTATTGCGGTTGCAGCCACATGGCGCAGAGATGCTGTGGGCTGCAGTGTGGTCAGTGGCTGCACGAACAGTCTTGCCGGCTGCTGTTGTTTCCGCCTTGGTGATGGGTTAAATACTGACAAACATGCTTTGCTTGACAAATAAAAGCAGTTAAATCAATTTTCTACTAGGAGCAAGGAGCCCAGAGCTCATGAGCTGGGAACACAAACTGGAAGCTGCCCAAGTCACAGTGAAAGTGGTGGTTTGGGGGAGCGGGATTGTGTGTGTGCGCCTGGCAAATTCCTGAGTCACCATGCTTAGCTCCACTGTGGAGGGGTTTTGCAAAAAAATCGCTTAGTAGGCAGTCAGGGGTGGGAAACCTTTTTGGCAACAGACCTTTTGGGCCTTTTAGACCAGTCTACATGGTAAGTGTGGAGTTGGGTTCCATGCGGGCTCCAGAGGAAGATGGATGTTAAAAAGAAGTCCCAGTACACTAGCTCAGAATTCAGTATAATAAAGGGTTATTTATTTAGGAGTAGGCTCGCAGATCACAGTCCTCTTCACGAACAGGGAAACAGGAACCTAGCAGCCAGAAGAGAGGGCTCATGCGATCTACATTGGCATTTTTAGTATAAGAGGCCATGCCCAAGTGGGGTAGTAACTTAAAGGCTTCTGGATGAAGGAATTCCTACAACAGAAACTTTTAAACCATGCTTAAGACTTTATGTTCTGTCCTGGAAATGAGTACAGAAATCCTGGCAAGTGATAACTAGAGTAATATCTGGGTAGTGTGCCCCCAAAGAAAAACCCAGATAGAATGGAAGTTTTGGCAAGTGGATAAGTGGGCAATGCAGAGTTGTATCCAAGGTGAGAGAGTGATGTTAGCAGCACAAGTGGAAGATTGCTTTAAAGGAAGATGATAATGGGTTACAGATATATTGACGTGTTATAGTGTACAAAATAATATATGCAGGAATGTGGATTGGGAGAATTTTAAGAGATGAAGTATTCTAAATTCAGTGCTTGGGAGTGATAGCTGGGGAAGAAGAGAAACTTGTCTTTAGGGGCTGATGAGATGGCTCAGTGGGTAAAAGCACTTGCCCCCAAGTTTGATAACCCAAGCTTTATCCCTGAGACCTACATGGTGGAAAGAAAAGTGACTGCTACAAGTTGTCCTCTGACTTTCATATGTGTGCCATAGCAATACACACCCACCAAACGCAAATAATCCTTCTTTCCTCTTCCTTCCCTCCCTCCCTCCCTCCCTTCCTTGTGTGTGTGTGTGTGTGTGTGTGTGTGTGTGTGTGTGTGTGTTGAGACAGGGTCTCCCTTTAGCCCTGGCTGTCCTGAAACTAGCTGTGGAGACCAGGCTGGCCTTGAACTCGAAGAGATCTTCCTGCTTCTGCTTCTTGAATTCTGAGACTAAAGGCATATATGCCTAGCTACTTTTTTAAGTTTAAAAATAAAATTTTTTTTTGTTCTTTGTCCTTTATGTTTGTGCTGTATGTATGTGTTGTGTGTTGGTATATGTGTAGTGTATGTACTTTGCATATCTATGTTGTGTTTATTCTGTATTGTATATTTTATGTATGTGTTTTGATATGTGTGGTGTATGCATATGTATATGTGTTCACTTTTCATATGTGTGTTGTATGTATGTCTGGTATGCTTATTATAGTGATATTTTATTTGTATTTTAATAAATTATCTTGCCTGAAGATCAGAATGCATTGCTAAACCACTAGAGGCCAGGGAGTGGTGGCACACACCTTTAGTCCTAGTGTTTGGGATCACACACTTTAACCCCAGCACTGGGGAGGTGGAGACAGGAGCAGTACGGCTGGGCAGAGAGAGGAATATAAAGGGAGAGAGACGGGGACTCACTGGAGTGTGGAGTCTGAGGTCTGGTGGAGAACACTGCAGTCGAGGCAGTCAGAATCGCCCCTTCAGTCTGAGCATCTCTCTAGTGGCTTACTGCTCTGCTTCTCTAGATCTTCAACTTTAACCCCTATATCTGACTCTGGGTTTTTAATCATTCGTGCTACAGTTATATATGTGAAATTTGTGTGTATGTGTGGTATGTGTATACTTGTATATGTGTGTTGTGTGAACATATGTGTTATATGTATGTGTGTGGTGCATTCACGTGAGTTTGGAGAGGTACCTGCACTGTATGTGCAGGTATGGATGCTGGTAGAAGATTTTGGGTATCTTCTTCTTTTGATTTCTATCTTACTGACTTGAGACAGAGTGTTCTCACTGAAAATAACCTCACATTTTTGGCTGGAGTTTGGCCAGTGAGCTCTTGGATTAGAAGAATATTATTAAAATGTTATCATCACTGTCTAAAGCAATCTACAGGTTCAGTGCGTTAAATACCAATGGTATCCTTCACAGAACTAGAATACTCTTAAATTTTATAGGGAATCCTCAATAAACAAAACCAAAACCAATCAGAGTATAATGTAGACTGTGTGGTTTTCTTCTATACATTTTTTTTGGTAGTTTTATTTTTCTTCTTCTTTTTCTTTTTGGTTTTTCGAGACACGGTTCTTCTGTTCAACAGCCCTAGCTGTCCTGGAAATAGCTCTTGTAGACCAGGCTGGCCTTAAATTCAGAGATCCACCTGTTTTTACCTCTCAAGTGTTGGGATTAAAGGTGTACAACATGACATCCTGCCCACAGCAACATTCATTTTTATTAACAGCCATTTTATTTATGAGACAGACATTTTATGTGTGAGAATGAAAGAAAATCAGGTTTTCGGAGAGTAGAGCAGGTAGAATTTATACATTCACATCGGTGCTGCCTAAATGATGGAGTTGGGAAGATGTGTATGTATGTGCTGCCATTGCTCAAAGTAGTCGTTACAGGATTTTGTATTTACACAAAGATGTATAGTAAACTTGAAAATACTAGTAAATTCATTGAATCATTTAATTTTTGCATTTGCATAACAGTGGTTTTCAGAATGTTTTTGGCTTGGTGTAGGTTCAGTAACAGAAGGTTTCAGGCAAATAAGTTAGTTTGCTAGAAATGAATTGTCTTTAAATTAATGACCATTGTTTTTCCTCCTCTAGTCATCAGATAAGCAGCGAGCCCTAGAAGAAACCAAAGCCTACACAACCCAATCCTTAGCAAGTGTTGCGTATCTGATAAACACCTTGGCCAACAATGTCCTACAGATGCTGGATATCCAGGCATCCCAATTACGGAGGATGGAATCTTCAATCAATCATATTTCACAAGTGAGTCCTTGTTACTTTTCTATTTGCCTATGAGCAACACACAGCCTGTTGACTGCCTTTGTTATGCAAGTTAATGCATGTGCTGTTTGGATAATAAAACTTGATATTGTATTGTTTTATGATTCTTTTTGTGATGTCATTACTTTTATAGTTTGATAGCAAAGTAAATTTGATGGGTTTTATTAAAACTCAGTTGCCAAGGTAACTTAATCACTCCTGAAGTGAAAATTTACCTTTTTTTTTCCTAGAAAAAAAAATTTTCTGACAGGTTTTATGTCTTTACAGCTTTACAAATAGACTTGTTAGCTTGGTGGCTAATTTAAGTTTTCTCTTGTCAGGGTTTTTTTTAAGCCCCTTTTTGGTGACTGTCTTAGTCCATGTTCTGTTGGTGTGAAGAGATACCATGACTAAGGCAATTTTTTTTGTTGTTGTTTTGTTTTTTGAGACAAGGTTTCTCTGTGGCTTTGGAGCCTGTCCTCCCGTCCTGGAACTAGCTCTTGTGGAGCAGGCTGGCTTCAAACTCACAGAGCTCCACCTGCCTCTCTGCCTCCCAAGTGGTGGAATTAAAGGCGTGCGCCACCGCCCGCTGACCATGGCAACTCTTACAAAGGAAAGCATTTAATTAGGGCTGGCGTATAGTTTAGTCCCTTGTTACTGTGGCAGGAAGCATGTTGCCAAGCAGACAGACAGGGTAGAGGAGAGTAACTGATAATTCTTTTTTTGTTGTTTGATTGTTATTTTGGTTTTTGAGACAGGGTTTCTCTGTGTAGCTTTGGAGCCTGTCCTGAACTTGCTCTCTAAACCAGTGTGGCTGCAAACTCACAGAGCTCTGTCTACCTGTGTTCCCTGAGTGCTGGGATTGAAGGTGTGGGTCACCACTGCCTGGCGAAAATTGTGTATCTTGATCCATAAGCAGCAGGCAAAGAAACCTCTGGGCCTGGCTTCAGTGTTTTTGAAACCTCAAAGTCCGCCCTAGTGACACTTCCTCCAACAGGGACAGACCTACTCCAACAAGGCCACTCCTCCTAATCCCTGTCAAGTATTGCTACTCCTTAATGAATAAGCATTCAAATATGAGACTGTGGGGTTATTTCTATTTAAACTACCATAGTAGTGTTGGGAATTGAACTTAGATTCTTGAACATGCTAAGCTTTATTGCTGCGTTAAACTCCCAGCTCTGAGGAGACAGGTATTTGCTGTGCTTGGCGTTTACAAAGGTCCTGGGAATCTGAAGTCAGTTATCTTTTTATAGAAAGCACTTTGCCACTGAGCCATCAGGCAGCTCCTAAAGCTTCCTAAAATTATGCTTAAAACAACCAGTTTAATACAGTTTGATCTTTAGATTGGGAGGATATATTTGTGCCAAGAATTGACCCTAAAGGCCTCCTGTATTCTGAATGTATATTCTAGCACCAAATTGTCTCTAGTTCGGAAAACTTCGGTAAAATAAAGTTTTTTTGTGTGTGTGTATGTTTAGAAAGCAGATACTTAGGAACTACTCCAGAACAGTAATGGCAAATTTAAACGGAACAAATTGTAAATATTTTAGGTATTGTGGGCCACAGTCATCTTATTGTACTACTTTTTTAAACACGTGTATCTTTTTTGGGGGGGCGTAAGATTTTACTGGGTGTATTGTTTAGGATGCATGTGTATACATCCTTGTGTTTTTTGACAACTTTGTAAAAGTGTTAAACCCCTTCTTAGTTTGTGGGCTGTATAAAAATGTGTTCTGTGGCCCTAGGCCTAGACTATCTGACAGGCTTTTTTTTTTGTGAAGCAGGAATTTTGAAGAATTGTTCTTCCTTGTCTTGGCAAAGTTTGTCGGTTGCTTTCTTTTGTGTTCTGCTTGTCCAGTTTGGACAACACACTGTCAGCAGGTGGACCACAGTCTGATTCTGAGATTCCTGGAGGCAGGATTGCCATTGCAGACTGAGGGAGAGCTAAGAGCCAGTGGCTGGCGGTTTTTGCTTTTCTGACTTTCAGGTTGAACTGCAGTATCTGTCGCTGGATTTTTATTAATCAAGTCCTGGAAAATTAGCTGCTGCTCAGTCTTGGTGTGATGGGAAGGTGCGGGGCTTCTCTGAAGTCCTGGCTGGAGTAGTCTATGAGGCTGGACCATCTTGGCTAACTACTTTGAAGTTGTCCTTAGCATTTTGTAGTCAAGGGGTGATATTTGGGTGGTGTTTGTCTGCTTAGGCTTCTAGCATATTTCCCATCAATAGCTGGTCAATTTCATCATTACTTTGTGCTAGAGGCCCTGGTAGACCTATTTGGGATCTGATATGTGTTAGATACAAGGGATGATTTCTATTTCTGATTATTTCTTGTAATTGAATAAATCACAAAGTTAATTCTGAATCATTTGGAATGAGTTCTATTGTTTCAATATGTAAAATAACTCTGAATATTGAGTCAGTAACTATATTAAGAGGTTTGCAAAAATCTAATAATACCATGAGAATAGCATATAATTCTGACTTTTGAACAGAATCCTAGGGCTTTGAGCTACTTTACTTAGATTTCCTGACTTACAGCTTGCCTTTTCTGATTTATTTGCATCAGCATAGAATGTAGGGGCTTTAGAATTGGTGTTTGCTATGTAGAATTGGTGTTTGCTGTGTAGAATTGGTGTTTGTTGTGAGGAAGGATCCAATTAGTTCTCTTTCTTTTGGAATATTTGTTGCTAATCTCTTGCAAAAAAAAATTACTGCAAGCTCTTCACCAGTATTCATTTTCTGTCCATAATGAGGTAATTAGTTAAAGGCACCACAATTTCTGCTTGGTCTATTCCTGCTAATTGATGAAGTCTTAATTTCCCTTTCAGAATCAATACAGATTATTTCTAAATAGGTCTTTAAGTTTTTTTTTGCACTGTTTGTGTGGCAGAAATGTCCATTTTAAAATATTATCTTCTCTGTGCGTGAGAATTCCTGTGGGAGAATACATAGAAGGTAAAATAACCAGAATACAATCAAGCTCTAGATATAAACAATCCACATGTGTATCTTGTAATTTCTTTTCTACCAAAGTCAATTCTCTATCATTCTTAGCTTATAATTTTGTTCGACTAAGTAAATCCTTATCACTTTGTAATGGTTAAAATAAATTGCTTAGTTTTTGAGTTGTCAATCTAATTTTGGGCCATAGCCAGTTACTATCTCCCAGCATTTTTTGAAAGTCTTTAAGAGTTTGTATTTGATCTCTCCTGATTTGTACTTTCTCTGATTGAATTTGTAAACCTATTTTATATCTTAGGTAATTAATAGACTCTCCTCTTTGTATTTTTTCAGGAGCAATTTGTAATCCCCAACAAGGCAAAATTTTCTTTACCTCTTCAAACATTTTTTCTAAGGTATCTGAGTCTGAATTAACTAGTAAGATATTACACATATAATGATAAATTTTAGGTTGAGGAAACTGTTTATGAATTATTTACAACAGCTGTTGTACAAATAATGACATAAGGTAATTCTGTTTAACATCCCTTATGGAAGAACTTTCCACTGATAGCAGGCTGGGAATTATACGTAGGCTCTATGAGGCCAAATTTTTCTCTGTCCTGTTCTTGTGAAGGTATAGTAAAAAAGAAGTCTTTTAAGTCTTTAGAATTGGTGTTTGCTATGTAGAATTGGTGTTTGCTGTGTAGAATTGGTGTTTGCTGTGAGGAAGGATCCAATTAGTTCTCTTTCTTTTGGAATATTTGTTGCTAAACTCTTGCAAAAAAAAAATTACTGCAAGCTCTTCACCAGTATTCATTTTCTGTCCATAATGAGGTAATTAGTTAAAGGCACCACAATTTCTGCTTGGTCTATTCCTGCTAATTGATGAAGTCTTAATTTTCCTTTCAGAATCAATACAGATTCTTTCTATAATAGCCCATCCTTTAGGTAATAATGAAAACAAGGGAATTTGAAGCTATAAAGAGCCCATTGGTTGGATTACCTTATTAATAGCTCTTGGATCTGTTACTAATCTCTATATTCCAGATTTCTTTTTAATGACAACTATAGAAGAATTCTAAGGGCTGATTGATTCTTTAATATGTTGAACATTTAGCTGTTTCTGTATCAGCTGTTCTAATGCCTGTATTTTTCTGATATCAAAGGCCATTGTTCCACCCACACAAGTTTGTCAGTTAGCCATTTTAAAGGAAGGGCTGTTGGTACCTTTGAAAGATCAATAGCTGCTGTGTCTTGTTTATGTACAAGAATGGTTGGGGACTATTCTTGATAATATCTTTTAATATTTCTCTCAGAAGCATTTTTTATGATTTGTTTCTGACATTGGAGGAATGTTAATCTAGGTTTTCCATTGTTGTAACAAATCATGACCCCATATTTATTACTATGTTGGCCATATATGGATTTAATTTTCCTATCTGTCTTGTGGCTGTATAGACTCAAACCATCTTGCCCCAAGATAAAGTTCCAATCCCTAGAAGCTGAATATTTACCACTTGAAGAGGCCAATCTGGATACCAAAATTTTGGTGAACTTATTGTTAGATCTGTGCCTGGGTCTAATAAACCTTCAGTCACAATGCCATTTATTTGTATTTTTAGCTTTGGTCTTTGCAATTTATAGGAGTTTGCAAAAATACTTGTTTTATGGTCTTTCTGAAATTTTTTTTTTTTAATCTGCTGAAGCTGTCTTTCTTCCAGAGCAGTGTGGTTTCTCACAATGAGCATTCATTACGCCTTTTAATTGCTTTGTGGAAAGTTTCCCCAACACTGACATGGAATGATTGCCTGCAGGATGTCCCCTGAGGCTAACATCCCTTCATTTAACTTTGTCATTTTAAACCATCTGTTGGGGAACCAGGAGAAGCCTGCAGCCCACGGGGAGAGGGAGCCAATGGCCTGTAAAGCGGACATGGGGATGTGTGGAAGAAGCCTGCATGAGAGAAGCAAGGGCATACATAGGGCCACCTGAATGACAGTGAGGGGCTAACTCTGGTGGGATTTGGGACCTAGCCACCTGTGGTGTTTGGGGCAGGG